AAAAAAAAAAAAAAAAAAAAAAAATTAACAGGCATTCAAGAACCTAGGCAGGTCTAAATTGCAGAACACTGAAAACCAAAAATCCCGTAACTCAATTGCCCTCAAACTTTTACAAATCAAATTCCATCCAACACTAATCAAATTTGCAGTCCCTCCCAAAATTTTAGAACATTAGAATTAGTCATATTAACCCAGCTCTCAATTCCCATCATTAACCAACATGTAGAGATTAACACATTAAGAATCAATCTTTACATGAAATATTCAGTACAATATGAACAAAAGTAGTACGTTAAATGAAAAATACAATAATGTTGGTAAAGGCAATCCTAGGAATCGTCTAAACAGGATTAACATGGACATAAAATAACAAATACAAATGCTATAACACTGATAAGCACTAACAAGTATAAAATATTTATTGTTTATTGTCCTATCACCCACAAAAATTAAGAAATGGGGATGAATTTGATGATTTCAAAAGTTGGAAGGGGCGGACGAATATTCGAACAAAGCTGGAAGGATCTTTTACTTCCTTATCTGCAAAAATGAACAACATCCGTCCCTCCCCGAGCAGCCAATAAACTGTTGGAGTATTTAAGAGACGGATTCATGAACATTTAACACGAGCTAGCTAAGGGGAATAACTTTCCTTTGACTTATGCAAACAGTAACCATAAAGGAAAGGACTTAAATTATCACCTTCAGCATCAGGAGACAACTTGAAACTGACAACATATTCTGGAAAGATATGAGTATTCATATTCATAGTCCAGACCACATAACACTTCGGATTTTCAAGATTATCAACGCCATTATCGAAATCCTCACTACTGGGATGGAACTGCTTAGATCCAGGATAAACCAATTCCATGTTTCCCATTATTACACGGCACAATATCATGTGTTGTACACCATTTTCGTCATAATCACAATACTTTGCACTGTAAAGAAATGAAAGCAACAACATCAATAAGCTTCATAATGAGAACAAACAAATCGACAAAAAGGAAAATACGATCATGGCAGGTCAGCCACAAAAGGCATAAACTTCAAAGCATCAAAAGAGAAGCGACCAACTATAACAAGCTCCTTTACGCATCAAAAGACATCTTATCAAATCTCACAAGACGACTAGAACAAGTGAAATTTCAAGACACAAAATAATAACACACAAGACTAGCATAGCATATCATCAAACATTCCACATGAAATTCCTCTACAACAACATGAAACTAGTAAACCCAGAGTTATATCAACGCATAACACAGGTCAATATTTGCATCTTTTAAAAGCGACTTATGTCATTACTCATTTGACAAGCACTAAGGAATCAATTCATGGAGCTTCTTAGGAAACTACCGTGAAAGGTCGTAAAAGCTGTGACAAGACCCAAAAAAATCTAGTATTTGAACCTGGATACCAGCAATAGAGATCAACTTGGCAATGCAATCAAACAATCCTACAGGAAACAGTCAGGTACCATACCGGAAGAAAAAAACAGAAAGCAGTAACTGCCACTTTCAAACTTGATTCATATTCCTATCACTGATGATATACACTGGGGAAAATTATAAATTGAGTAAACAAAAAATGAAATCAATATACATTAGACTGGTCCTACTTTTCCAGATCTGAATCTGTATAGCATTTTAGAGACATACAGCACGACAAGCATTCAGTCTGTTTTACCAGCAAAATTATAGGGAAGATTCAGATTACCCCAAACCTTGAGGTTTGAATGTTGCCACTACCCCACTGTTCTCATAAAAAAGTTCACCGCTTTGGCCATGTTGCTCGAAAACCTATATGCTCTACCGACCGAAAATCATTATTTCTAAAATGCACCTGTATGTGTCTTCTTGCAACTTTGGCCATGTTGCTCGAAAATTCAGTTGATTGAAAAAAGCAAAAGAGGAAACAACACTACCTGATCTCAGTACAGTTAGCAGGGAAAAGATGAACACCAACGCCATATCTGGACTTGGATTTGGATAGATCATAATTAGCAAGCCCATATTTCATAATATTCGTAATCATTCCTTTAGAAGAAGGAAGCCAAGCACAACTAAGACTGGCACCCCCACGCTGCTTCTTCGTAATTTCCACCTGCTTTTGAAAGAGTTCCCTTCGAACTTCCATGAAAGTACTTGAAACACGATGTAATTCAAATATCTTTGCACCAGAAGGTGAATTGATACCCTTGAGAAATATCTCACCCACAACATCTGGGTCCAGATATTCCCACTTGCAGCCCGCAGCATATTCCACCAATTGATGATTTTCCGCGGAGTCATCCTTGGATTTCGTATCTGAGACTCTGACACAATTATCACCAACTTCTGCAGTGCAATTTTTTGCTGCAGGTTTGTGACATAAGTTAACTTGCTTAACAATAGCATTGGACTCTCCACTAGATTCCTTCAAACTTGACATATCCGCTCCATTAATTTCAATCTCCAGCTGCATCTCCAGATCATTGGATCCCTCTGTCTCAGAATCTACCTCTATGGAGTCCTTGTGTTCACTGTGACAACACTCATGCAGTTCATCACAATTAGCAAATAATTCCGGGAAAAAGCAATTGCCTGCTTCATCAATCCATGCAATAGGTTGTTGCAGACCTGACTTCAGGTCCAACCGCAACATATGGAAGAAATCAAGCACAAATTTTTTACCATTGAACTCCACCTCTGTCACTGATTTCTTTATCCGGAGATTTTTCTTAGCCATTGTAACAATGTTCTCAGGGAAATCAGTCCACTGACCCTTCTGATAGTACATCAAACGTTGTGGAAGCCCACTTTTCCTGAAATTGAGATAATATCTACGCAAAGATTCTCTTGGGTGAAACGCACAACCACCACACGTGCTGTTTGATCCATTAAGCTTCCTCCGCTTTCCAAGAGGGCGGATGGATGAGTTCAGCGAGGATCGGACTGGAAATATCATGTGGGTAGCCCCGGAGAGATGGGTCTCGCATCGAGCCACCCGTTTTCTCTTCAAGTCAACAACAATGTTTTGGCTCCTATCCAATACCTTTCCGTATTTTGTTTCCATTTCTACCTACAGGATCAATCCCTATCCGCTGGTTTAAAGCCAAAGGTTCAAAGATAGCAGTTATATACAACTCGGTCTTGGTTCTGCCTCAGAGAGACCACGCGCATGCCATTGGTTGAGTTTGATAAACCCTGACAAAATAGTGAGACATCATCAATAACAGGATCATAGGTTAAATAATAGGTCGCGCATCACTATTTCTAGAATACCACAAACTAATCATCGCATACAAGTCCACTAGGAAAACCGAATATAAACTGTCAGTCCAACCATCTAAAAGCTGACAAGCTGGCACTGGGATGAGTACATGTATGCGCTGAAACTACTCCGCAATATTGGTACTTCAGTCATTCGACTAGCATATGGAGCCCGCTAAGATAATTATCCATGATCACAAAAGGGTTGCAAGTTGTAATCCTTTAAGGAAAAGTTTCTAGCATTAGTCTACATCAGTAACAATCAGCACTTTAACAGAAAGAAGCATACAAATATAGAGTCTATCCACCTGCAAAATTTGTAAGAACCACAGAAAAGTACAATACCAAAAACTCCAGTGAGGACCAAGAGAACTACAGGAGTAAGCCATCACACAGGAAACATTCAAACTTTCAAAGATTAAGCTGAAAATGCATAATGCCGAGAAATCAACATACATTCAAAGCTCAAGATAGAGCTTGAGACAGAGGCGGACCATTATCCACTGAATTTCAAACCGTTTGCCACTGCCCTCGGAAATTTCTAGTTTATCAGCAAAAACATAGAGCTTGAGAACGCCAATTTGGATTTTTAATACGACTTGATTCATCTTGTTTTCTTAAGAGTAAAGTCGAGATCCAACGTTTTGAGATCAGGTTGAAGGTCTAAATATGGATCAGTCCCCAAAGGGAAAATGAAACAAAATCCTTACAAGGCCACAGGCAAGTGCCGTTCCCAAGGTTTCTAGCATACTAGACACAATTGTTTCCTCGAAAAACAGTCAAACAAGATGCTCTATATGGTACCACATACCAGATAATGTTAGATCCACAAAACCAAGAAAATGCTGGCAGTTTTTTCCTTGAGAAGAGCTTCGATATTGCACCAACCCAAACAATTATAAGCACACATGGAAAACAATTGCCATCTTATCATCAAATAGTAGACATTGGATCACATTCATCACAATTCATAACAAAAGGAACATACTCCCAACAAAATGTCTTGTTGTATTGATGCAACTATCTCACATTATTAGGAAGATAGTGCTTGGGCCCCTCATCAGAAGGGACATCCAAGACTGGAAGTTAAATGATCTGCTGGGTTTGCTCGACAAATTTCAGGTGCTAACGTCAACTCCCAGGTGCAAGATAGGTTGGAATGGGGTGAATCAAAAGAGAGAACCTAGCATGCTCCAACAAGGAACTGATCATCAAATGGCCATGGAAGCTTATATGAAAAACCAAACTACCTACTCCCTCCGTTCATTTTTACTTGTCCATTACACCAAAAATACATGTCCACTTTTACTTGTCCATTACACCAAAAATACACTTTCACTTTTACTTGTCCATTTTACCAAATCAATAGAAAGACAATCTTCGTTTCTTATTTTACCCTTATCATTAACTACTCATTCCTCAAATCATTTCTCAATACTTTTTTAAATACTATCATTATTAGGGGTTATATGATAAAATATATACTACAATTATTATTTCTTAAGGGGCATGTAAAGTCAAAATCAAAAGTGGACAACTAAACGTGGACCCGAGTACAAAAGTAGCTAGGTTTATCTGGACAACCTTGTATGAAGCTTGTCTTACTCAAGACAATCTTAGGAGCATATGGACTGTGAATAGATGTTATATGTGCCAAATGGAGTCTAAGAGTGTAAGGCATTTTTTCTGCACTGTTAAGTAGCAGCTGAAATTTGGAGTGTTTTTTTTTTTCAGTTTTTGGAATTGCTTGGGTCATGTCAACAGTATCAAGGAAGCTTATGAGAGCTGGTGCTCAGGAAGAGTTGGGCAATCAGTCAAAAAAATTTGGCAAATAGTTCTTGGTGCTATTTTGTGGAGTATTAAAGGAATCATAAATATTTTGATGGGATTTCAACTCCGATACCACTCGTTTTTTTTGGTTAGCATCCGATACCATACTCTTAAAGCCACTTCTTTAATTAATAATTTATTTAGTTGGTTCAGTCAGGCCCATGTAACTAGTGTTGAACTTTTTCTGAATTTTATCTGTTCCTTAGTTGTCCAGTTTGTTTTGGTATGAGCAGACGCTCCCTTTCCGTAGTAATTTTTGTTATGCATCTTCTTAATGTCATTTAGTAAAACTCTCTAACTTCATCCAAAAAAAAAGAGGAAAAACTAAATAAGTGTGCAAGAAAGGGGCTCTTTTTGATAATATCATTTGTATTTTGCTGCAAAGACAATTTTGGTCCTCATAAACACGAGCAAAGATAGCCTTAGGAAAAATATAAAACGAAAATATGCAGCAAATATCTTGATCCTCTAATGGTTAATCTTTCTATATTAGTATACCTCAAACTTTAAACATGCTTAAAATTATTAAATGAGAAGACAATTAACCCTATCAGCCACCAAGGCTTAGTTCAAGTGGCAAAGATTGAGGGACTATCACAGCTCAGAACCTTACGTCATGCTAACTAAGATTGGCACCTGAGTGGAGAAGGGTAGAGGAGGGGGCCATTATCCCCGAGTATCAAAAGTAATCTTTGGTCCCAAGGGTTGGCTCCAAACAGATTTCTCAATCATAAAAAACAACTAAGCGCATTACCCACATCGAATTCAAATTGGAGAGATGACTCATTTCACAACCCATTTTTTTTTATAATTGTGATGTCCGTACCAGCTTGCTCGCACCTCGACTAATTCCACAGGGTACCTGCTACCTTCCACCACCATAGGTATCGGGTAACTCTGTCCACCAAGGCTTGGACAGATGGAAAGAAATCACCTAGTGTGTTTGCCTCCGCTCGGATTTAAATTTGAGACCTCATAGAGTTCTCAACCCACTTCATTGACCACTAAGACAAATCCTTGGGTGCTTTCACAACCCATTTTTACTCATGTTACAATCGATTTTTCCATATAGCAAAAGATCAATCATGTTGTTTGAGATGTTGTTTGAGAGACAAACACATTGACACATCGCACATGGTATGTTTATGGGAAGGTGTTAATCAAAGGGTGTAAATATTTTAATGGTCATCACTTCCAACGTACATCTACCATCAGTATTTTGAAGCAAATATGGTGCCCGCAATGCGCTATTATGTGGACCCTTTTTTTTGGATAAGTTGAAGAGTTACATTATAGGACACCTAGATGGTGTAGGATGTAAAGATTGCAAGATTAATATTAAGCATTACATAAAACTAATTATGTTATATATACGCTAATCCTTCCCAAAATCCTAACCATCTATCTATACAAGCAGGCATCTCCACTATACACAACAAGAACAAAAATAAAAATAACTTTTGACCGATCCAACAAGCTCCCAACTCCAAGAAATTGCTCTTATTATTTATAATAACCAAAAAGGTGTAAAAATGTGTTCTTTCATAACTTTTTCTCCCTTCATCCGTATTGTTGCTCCTCGAGCGGGGGCCAAAATTTCCGTCGGTAGAACCTAAATGTTGTCCGAAAGACCTCGCACATACAACACCAACTAAACTAAAATGCATCTGCTTCTTGAATAGTGATGTTCCTAGGGCCTTACCACGTGGAAAAAATCAACGCTTGATGCTTTAGATTCCACTGAGACTTAAGTACAGGTACAACTATTCTTTCCCCGAGTCTTGAAGAGGTATCTTTTATGTCGTGAATTGTTCGCTTACTATAAAGAAGAGTGCGCTACGTCTCGCTTTTTGATTCAAGCCCATGAAACTTGTCAATTTTTTTGTGTTCTTCGCTTTTAAAAACACCAATAGGACAAAAACTTATTACAGAGGTACTACACCATTTGAAGATACCTAATAAAATGAAAGATGTTAGACGCTTATGAGACCAAAACTACTATACGGAGTGAATGTTGGGGCGCCAAGAGTTGAGTACAACTAGTACCCACAAGATAAATATATCAAACAAGTAGATCAAATTAGAAATGATCAAATCAACCAAAAGGTGTAGAATCTCTCCTACATTACATGAAACACCAAAAAGCACTGGTCTAAATACAAGAAACTACGGTCATTGAAGGTGTCAAAAGGAAACGAGACAAATTTGCGTAGTATGGAGCTGGAAAAATTAAATTTGACGCCGATTCATATATATTACCCTAACAAATTTGAGATTTGGTCTAGTTGATTGATCACTAGCCAATGAAGTGCAGGACAATAATCTAGTTCTCCAGAAAGGCATTCTAAATGGCCTTTTTTGAGTAACAAGTTTTTGCATAATGACGTTTCAAAAGGTTTTAGTGATATTTACAACTAATTAACATTGTGAGAAGTAGTGTTGGGGAAAGCAAGTGCTTCAGCACTTTTAGCGTGAAGCGAAGCGAGGCGATGGGAGGTCGGTTTTTGAGTCCAATGTTAGGCGGGTTAAAGGAAGCGCTCACTTATTAGCTTAGTAGAAGTGTGAAGTGACGAAGACCCAAAGCGAGCGCTTCGTTAAAAAACGACAATTTTAGAAGAACAAAGAAAGTTCGGGACTCTTTTTTAAAAAAATAAAAATAAAGGAGAATGATAGTCCAGGTTGGGACTATTTCAAAAGAAGTCAATCCTTTGGGTCCGAAGTTGGCAATTGCTTCTTGCTAAAGAACTACTCCCTCCGTTCCAATTTATGTGAACTTGTTTGACTGAACACGGAGTTAAAGAAAAAATGACGACTTTTGAAATTTGTGATCCTAAACAAGTCAAAAAGGGCCCAGAGTATTTGGGTGGTTATAAAAGTTTCTTATTAAGGGTACAATTGTAAGTTTAAGCTAAATTATTACCAAGTTTAGAAAGGGGTCATTCTTTTTGGACCGGACCAAAAAGGAAATAGGTTCACATAAACTGGAACAAAGGAAGTATCAACTTTTTGAGTCTGAGGAAAAGTGGGCTGTAGGAAGCGCTCGCTTCTTAGGCAGAGCATGAAGCGATGAAGATGCGAGGCGAGCGCTTCTTTAAAAAGCGACAATTTTAGAAAGGAAAAAAAAGAAGTCGACATGACTCTTTTAACAAAAAAATAAGGAGAGTCCAGATTGGGACTATTGGACTATTTCAGAACAAGTCGCTCATTTGGGTTCGAAATTGGCTGTCGATTCTTGCTAAGCTATCGACTTTTTGAGTCTAAGGCGAAGCGGGGTGAAGAAAGCACTTGCTTCTTAGGCGGAAGCGCTCAGCGTGAAGCAATGACGACGCAAGGCGAGCGCTTCTTCAAAAGGGATAATTTAAGAAGAAAAAAGGAAGTTGGTGACTCTTTTTTAAGAATAAAATAAAGGAGAAGAAGAGTTCAGGTTGGGACTAGAAGTCGCAATTTGGGTTCAAAATTGGCTGCCGCTTCTTGCTAAAAAAGTATCAACTCCAGGTTCTTCTTCCCTCCTCCCTCCTCCCTCCTCCCTCGCTATGGTATTCGATATGGGGATTTTAATTTTTTTTCCAGTTACATTTGGCAGCTTATTTTAAAAAAAATTATTTTCTTATTTTCCCTTTTCTCTGTATCTCTCTATTTTTTATTTCTGTTTTTGAGCCGGTAGCTTCTATTTTTTAAATTATTACTAAAGGCTAATGACTTCTTCTATTTTATCCATTTTTAATATGAATAACTGTTGATCCACTTATATTTTGGTTTAAAATAAAAAATATATATTATTTTTGTTAGAATTCTGGTTTATTTAGTTATTATATTTATTTGAGCAATGTTCATTTTAATATTATTTTGAAATTGCACCTCACTTCAATAAAGTGAGCACCTTGCTTCACGCTTTAAGCGAGGCGGGCCCTTGTCGCTTTTTTCCGCTTCACGCTTTCAAAATCACTGGTGACAAGACAGCATTTCAGGGCTCTACAATACCTTTACATACACTCATCTAACAACCTTGCAGCTTAGGTTGTAGCAATGCTGCTCTTGCCATTTCATTTAGTTTTTTTTTTTGAGTTACTCAAAACACGAAAATTATATCAGTATGAAGTTCAGTATTACTTTATCCTTCATTTAGTTGTTTGCACCTTTATTTTTGTTGTAAGTAAATTTTATACCGATGTCCTGGTACAATTGTATACAACATTCAATGTGGAGTGACAATCCAAGAATTTGGATAGAGCTAGTAAAATAACAAAACTACCCTTCTGCCGAAGCCTTTCCCAAGGATCATAAAAAGCATCAACAATTTAATACATCCTAAATTATTAATCTTATATGTCCTAATAACTTCTATTCATATTTCCCAAAAACTTCTGTTTGTATATTCAAATTTTCAAATAACACGTGCACATTTATGCATCGCTTTAACTTTAATATATTACTCTAAATTCAAGATTTAATTAGTAAATTAAAATATGAAATGGGAAACAAAGGAGCTTAACAACTAATATAGGTAAAGAAAAAGAGAGAAGTCGTGCTAATTTTAAAGGAGTGATATCTGACCTTATTCTTACATTCCAATAGATTAGTGATTGTGTATGAAACAACTACATGTCAATAACTAAACAATAATTATTAAAACTAGAAAGCATTTTGTGTATGATATACTTAGCTAGAGAATGTCATCTTTTCATGATACAAAGGAGAAATACGCAAAAGGAATAAAAGCAACGTCAATTAAAAATACATATATAAAGAAAATAGGAGAAAGCGAAGAGTACCTCCTCAAAGAATTAGTTGAATCCACTGACAAGTTGATGTATTGAAGTGCAGACTCGTCATAGTTAGATCGAGATCGTTTGGAATGTGAATTATTTGCACGGTATAGTTCGAGAAAATTACTTCCTTAATTCACCAAATAAGGTAGATGATTGTCAAACACATAAGATATTATACTAGTGAGTACACATTTTACGCATTTAAACTTTACATGTAAGAGGTCTATAATTGTTCCTTGGTGTCTACTTGTGTTAGAGGGTTGGATGGGTTGAGTTAAATACAATTACACATAAATACCACGGCCTTGGGCAAGATTTCAGAAGTAAAATAAGCTCAAGTGCCGATAAACAATCCCTTATCACCCAATGCATTCCTTCAACTATTACTAAAACGTGGGGAAGGTTCAAATTATCCTCTTGAATTTCTAAATATATAGATATCTCACCTACAATCTTCTTTGATCATCATGTCCTAAAAATAATAAACTAAAATTGGATCGTAACACGTCTATGATCTTAAACCTTCGTCTCTACTCATTTTTGTTAGAAAAGTACCACGCTCGAACTCTTGACATAATGGCTTGAAGAGGATTCTTCCAACCAATATAAACAAGAACAACCGATAACATTCATCTTTGCTCATAAACTTCCAAATCCCCACCACGGTGAATCAATTAAAAAATATCCATAAATGCTACCAATGAAGTTAGACGAGGGAGAAGTCTGGAGAGGACCTTGTACCACGCTAAAAAGTACAACATACCTCCGTCGACATGCAGGCACCATTTGTTTTTAAGAAACCTTTAACATGCATAATATCTAATATCTTGATTTAAGTACAAATAGGTACAAACTTTATATTTTGGCACATTGGATTCATCTCCATGATATATGTCTTTGTCTTGAAGTTTTGGCATGTGATCGTTTCTTCTAAAGAAACCAAAATTTATTAATAAGAACCAATAGGTATGTCACCAAATACACCCTAATGAAATATCCCAAAATGTAAAATCAACACCAAATAATTCCAAAAAATAGACACTACCCACCAAACATTCCACCATTTTGGGAATAAATATGATCAATACAGCAGCATCTTGACTCCCAAGAAATACACTAAGAAAATCACTATCCTAAATACTAAATTTTAGAGTCCGAAAGCTAATGCTGAAACCTTAGTGTGAAGAAATTGAACCTAAAGGACAGGCAAAAACATAATGACCATAATCTGAACATATGCATGCAAAAGTGTAGGAAATGCGACGAAATTACATAACATCACCCGTGATGACCTAGCCCTCGGAGACCCCTTTACAAACTATACAAGCTTTTTCCAAAGCATACGGCTTTCTGGATGTAGATGATGATATCTATACAGATGGTGTAGATTCAAAAATTCAAGTTCTCTCCGGTCCTTTACTAATACATTCCCGCCTTGTTGGGCAAGTTCACTTCATTTCCCATCCAAAAAGTCACAAAAGGGCTTCTTGGGGGTGTAGGTGGCATTTTCGGCCAAGGCAGGATGTGAAGTATTTGACAAGAGTGGGTTGCTCTAGTGGTGAGCACCCTCCACTTCCAACCAAGAGGTTGTGAGTTCGAGTCACCCCAAGAGCAAGGTGGGGAGTTCTTGGATGGAGGGAACCGAGGGTCTATCGGAAACAGCCTCTCTACCTCAGGGTAGGGGTAAGTTCTGCGTACACACTACCCTCCCCAGACTCCACTAGTGGGATTATACTGGGTGGTGGTTGTTGTTGTTTGCAGGATGTGAAGTATTTGTTGAAAACTTCTTGGTTATAAACAAAAGATCATCATGAATGATGATCTACCACAACATGCCCAAAAGTGCGTCCGAGTACAGTTCTTAATCGATATCAGCAATAAAAGCTAAAGGAACTAACGCCCCAATGACATAAACTCCAACACACAATAAGTAAAACAGATTTTTTAATTCAATATAATGTTAAAAGAACGTCGTAAGTTACTAAACATCTAAACCAATTCATCAATTTAAAAAAAGCTAAAACTTTATATTCTCAATGCCATTTAGATGAAAATATTCCATTTTCAGGAACATGAATGATCATTCACCAGTTTGTTCGACAAATTACAAGTGCTCAGTAGCCAATCACGACTACGATAAACGAAATAACAGAGCCTTCACCTTTAACACCATAAAACATCATATATTCACTACTAACAATAAAACACAATGTATTCTAACATCCACACACATATATTAGATATAATAACATTAAACAAGACAAACACACACACACACAACAACAAAAAAAAATGCATGTATCGTATATGAAATAAAGACGAGAATACTTCAAAAAAAAACTGAATTTTCACACAGATCAAAGATCGAGGGATTTACATAAAGATGAAAGAAGTCGACGAATGAATTTTGCCTCCTCCGATTTCCTCCTTCTCCAGGGAATGGTGGCGTCAAACCCTAAGTCGGCCCAAAGATTTACCAAGTTCCTTTTCTTCTTTGTATCTGGAGAGAATAAAAGAATGAGTGGACTAATATGCCCCCAAAGGTACAGATCTCCTTTAGACCGACTATGATATTTCGGTTATTTTAGGAATTAAAAAAGGGTAATGTCGGTAACGAATACGGGTAGATGGTGTAGTGCAATGAATCGGGCCCCTTTTTGGCCCGAAGTACAGGCCCGAGCCCGAGATATGACCGTTACTTTCACCGACTCAATGGGTGATATTGGATGAGCGTGTTACTGAATGATTTAAATGTGGGACCCATTCATTATGTGTTTTCAAAGGATAAGACGAAGCTAATTTATTTATTATTTTTATTTTTATTTTAAAATCATTAGGTGGGGATTGGGGAAGTAAGATGATAATGTCTATATTATTCGAACTATTTTATTTTAAACTTTATAAAATTATTTTCGCTATAAGTATTTCGTTTTGGGTTTTCGATTCTTTAACTATCGTTTCTCTTTTACTCATACAAAATAAAAAGATAAAAGAAATTTGATTTGTGAGGATAGCGAAAAATAAATACCAAAATAACAAATTTTCTATTTAGAATCTTAAACAATGTGGTTGTCATGAATTCACTATGTTTAATTAAACTATCTATAGCTAAACGAACTATGATTTGCCTACTTAGGAAAAATGATTGACATAATTTTACATTAGAGAATAGCCGAATCTATTCAAGTTTCGATACATTATATTTACTCATAAATTCATAATTGTGTGGTAGTAGGTACAAAATATAATTGTGTTTATCATTCTTTTATGACAATAGATGTAAATCTAATATATGTATATATGTTCTTAAAAAATCTACAACAATTATATATAGTTTGGGTTGAATGTAGTGAGTATGCTTTTCTTTACTCCCATTAACCGAAGGACATGAAAGTAAATTAAAGACAAGAAAAAAGCTAAATAATTTAGTGTTGTTTTATGTTTTTCATGATAACGTTGCAAGTAAACTCAACAATTTAATGTTATTTTATATTTTTCGTAATAACGTTGCAAGCGTACCCTTCAAGTGAGATCTCAAAACTATCAAACTTCATCATACACAAAGTCAGGTATAAATTCAACGTGTTAAATTTCAAGTTGAGTTAATAGCAACATCATTATATTAGTCCAATGATAGATCATCTACGTCATTTCAATATTAGCAACTCAAATACAACACACAAAAAAAATCAACTATATTTTATGTCACATAAAGTGTTTGTAATTAGGCAATGGAAATACCTAAATCTTAATAGGAAAACTGTAATGACCCGATCGGTCGTTTTGAGTTTTAGTATTTCGTTCAATGGTTCGAGGTCTTGAGTGACTTCATATTGTGTATTATGACTAGTGTGTTTGGTCGGATTTGATTTTCAAATGTTTCGGGATGTATTTGAATGAGAGATTCTCACTTTAGAAGCTTAAGTTGAAAATGTTGATCGAAGTTTGACTTTTGTGAAAATGACCCCGGAACTGTGCTTTGATGACTCCGGTAGGTTCGTATCGTGATTTTGGACTTGGGTGTATGACCGGAATCGAATTTAGGGGTTCCTAGGTTGATTTGACTTGTTTTGCCGAAAGTTGGCAATTTAACGGTTTAGAATTTTGATAAGTTTGACCGTAGGTTGACTTTATAACTATCGTGTTTAGATTTTTGTTTCGGGTCTTGGAATAGGTCCATTTTTTTATTTGAAACTTATCTGCAAAGTTTGGCGTCATTTCGAGTTGATTTGATTGGAATCGGACGCGCAATTGTGTTTTTAGAAGTTCTTGAATTTCATGTATTTTGGAGGTCCGATTCATGGTTCCAGATGTTATATTTATGGTTTGATCGCGCGAGCGAGTTCGTGTTATATTTTTAGACTTGTATTGATATTTGGTGTGGAGCTCCGAGGGCTCGGATGAGTTTCGGATGCGTTTTGAAGTGTTTGGAAGAGTTGTACAAATGCTTCAGGTCTCGCAAATGCGAGACTATGTTCGCATTTGCGAGGTGGGTGATCGAAATTGCGACGTATGCTGGGGTCTGTCGGGTTCGCATTTGCGAACTCAGTGTTCGTATTTGTGATGGGGCCTGGGCTAGGCTTGTTCGCATTTGTGATCACCAAGGTCGCATTTGCGATATGTTCCATGTTCACATTTGCGATATTTCCGCCTCATTTGCGGCGCCAGCAAGACTGTGATGGATGTCGTTTTTGCGATCATTCTTCGCATTTGCGACATCTGCGACTGAACATAAAAACTAGGGGGTGACTTTAGTCTCGTTTTCATATCTTTGAACCCTAGACTCGGTAGGAGACGATTTTGAGAAGGGATTTTCATCTACTCTCATTGGGTAAGTGATTGTGATCAATTTTTAATTATTTTACATGATTATATATGAGATTTAACACCAAATTTGTGAGAATCAAAGTGAAATTTTGGAAATATTTGTCTATTTTTGAAAAATGAACTTTTGAGATTTGAGAGTCGAATTGGACTCGGATTTTAAAACAAAACACATATATGGACTTGTGGGTTATGGATAGTCGGAATCTCTAACCTTGGACTCGGGTTTTGACAGGATGGACTCGAGATTAATTTTTGGGGAATTATGTAAAGATCATAGCTTTATTTATTGGAATTAATTTCTCTTGCATTATTTGATGTTACTAAGCTGATTTTGGTAAAATTTGAGTCGAGCGGAGGTGAATTTTAAAGAAAAGGCTATTTTAGAGTATTGATTGAGGAATTTTGAGGGAACTATCTTGCCTAACTTTGTGTGGAGGAACTACCCCGTATACCCATAATGGATTGGTTTGTTTGCACTATTTGAACTACGTGAAAGGCGTGTACTCGAGGTGACGAGTGTATACACGGCCTTATATATGAAAATTTGACTGGTTTAGACTCTTAGGTTTCTTATGCACACTAAAGTCAGGTTGCTCTATCATGTTATGTCCTCCATTATTTAATTCACTCTTATATGCCTTATTTGAAATTGTTGGTTCGTATCCTATTACCAAATATACTCATACATGCTTTAATTGGAGTTGTTGCCTTTTTATTATCATGTTATCTCTTTTCATAGTTGATTTATTCTTAATGAAAATCATTGTAACATGTTATGTCTTTCATAGTTGATTTATGCTTATTTGAAATCATTGTTACATGTTATCTCTTCCATAGTTGATTATTCTTGTTTAAAGTTGACGTTACATGTTATCTCTATTAATTTTGAACTACTCTTACTTGAAGTCGTTATTATTTGTTATGTCTTTTATTATTGAGTTTATCCTTCTATTTCATTGTATTGTTGTAATTCTTATATTGATTTACTTGTCGTACCCTCGTATTATTGTTGTTCTCGTTGTACTTGGTGTTGTTGAGTTGTGGACTATGTGTGGTTGTGGTTGTGGTATTGGAATTATTGCTATGAAAACATTGTGGTATATAAGAACATGTGGTGCGAGTTGTTATATTATATTGTTACGCTTTTGGTACATGTGGGATTGTTGAGAGGATTGTCGGGGTATTTGCACGTGAGTTGTCTGTGCTAAAGTTATTATTAATATTTGCACATGCGGCGTGACAAAGCAGGCTATACATTTTGGGTTTGCGCATGTGGCGAGACAAGGTGGGATAATTATTATACGCGTGTGGCGAGACAAGGTGAGCATTTATTTATTATTGTGCACGCGGCGAGACAAAGGGAGGCTTTGTCGGGGATGATTTGTGATGGCCTGGGCAATGTTATTGATGATAGTTGTGTTGGTGTGACCTTCGTGTGTGTGTGTGTCATGCATATCACAAGTTTTGTTGCGTTTTCTCAATGTGCTACTTGGTGTCTCTAATTTTACCTGTTGACTTGAGCTCTGATAGTACACTTGCACAAGAATACACTGTAGCATGTCACATATAGCAATGCATGAGTATGAATTTTGATGTTTATTGATCATGTACATGTGTTATTGTATACCTGCGTTCTGTGCGTGATTGGACTGTTGGTACGTGAGTTGTCTATGCGGGTATGAAGTATTGTTACTATTGTCACTATTGTCATTGTCACAACCCAAACCTACGTGACCGGTACCCAGCACACTACCCGACCCGAGCGAACCAAACCATGTGATGCATCCAAATCATATGCATGAAAACCAATTTAACTGTGGAAACTCCTTGAAAATCATATATATTTTCAAGTTAAATAATAAAATATTTTCCAATTCAAAATCACACATGACGTTTTCCATGATAATAACAATGAGACTAAGTAAAATAAATATACTTTCATGTATGTCGAGTACAACCCCATTACTACAATCTTTCACAACTATCTATGGAGCCTCTATATCAAAGAATAGAACCAGCAGTTGGAGTAATTCCAACAAAAAAAATAAGAAAGAACATGATAACTACCACGAAATAAAAGTGGTGCTTCATAATACCTCTGAAAGAGAGTCATCCCAGCCTGACTGCATGTCACGTATCATACTTCGTCCTGAAACATGTAAAGTAAGCAAGGCCCTGGAAGGGAGGGCCCTAAGGGCTGAGTACACCACAACGGCACTAAATAAGTATCATAAACTCTCTCTAACTTAAATTCTTGGGACAAACTTTATAAAAATAATGCACCGATATTTGATATAAAACGATAAGAAATTTTATCAATTCATGACCCTTGTTATTTTAAATAACAACCAAGTGAAATATAACCCACAATATAAACTTTTAAATCATTTACATCAATCCAAGATTTTGGATAAATTCATACAAAATTATTCCATTTGCTTTAAGTCATCGAAATCACTTTCGGCTCCTTAAGCCTAAACATAAGAAAACCATTCTTACCTTTCACTGGGAGTACTATACCATCACCGACATAAGAGGGTCAACTAGGTTATGTACCCGTCACACCTCATTTTTCCTGGGGGATAGGGGGAGCTGTCACACCTATTTTTTCCCGAGGTGGTAGGGGTAGGAAATTTTTCCAATTAAAGTGACATTAATCGAAATTGAATTATTATTTAATTCAGAGTCGCTACTTGGAATAAGTTATGGTGT